TATTCAGGAGTCCTGGAGCCAGCAAGGCTTAGGACTGTCTCTGGCACACGAGGAACCCTCAGGGGCACGGTCACAACTCGCCGAGGCTCAAGCCCTGCCCCAGCTCTGACTCCTCGGCCTCGGCATGGAAGACGTCGGCGCTTCCCAAGGATCCTCTCGGGGCCAGGGCCACACTCAGCCCTGCAGACACAGGGTCTGACTGCTACCACAGCCTCCCCCTCCCCTTACAGTCCATACAGGGACCCAACACATACATCACCCTTCAATTCAGATGGCCCAAGCTGCCTTTGATGCCGTAAGTGGCTTCCACATAGAGCTCTAAATCCCATCTCAATTCGCTTGGTTAACGCATGACAGAGCAAATAAATTCATGGCATCCCTTCCAATTCCCATATTAGCTTCCTAACTGTTGGACTTTGCCCTCTGAGCACTGTTTTCTTTCCCTCTGATCCGAGCCTGGAGGCTGAATTTGGGTCTGCAGGACCTAGTCTGACCAAGGACAAAGGGAGCAGACTTCGATAATCCTTGTGGGTCCCTTCCAGCTCAGGATATTCAGTGTTTCTGTGATTCTATAGCTGGAAAAAACAGACCTTGGGTTTCTGCTGCTTCCCTTAATCACTGCAGCCTGAGTCACTGCCCTAAAAAGGATGTGGGTTCTGACATGGCAATATATTTAAAAACTTAATTGCTGTCATTAATATGAGCCAGGGAAACAATAAAATGTATCAAACTGCAGCAGAACTACCCACTCTTTTGTTGCCTTCATTTTCCACGGCCTTTTTGAAAAGCCACAGCGGAACAACTCAGCAGAACATTGCACCTCTGCCACACACCATAAACAGTGCAAACCCCAGCGAAGGATGCACGAAAATAAATAACTTCTCCAATGAAAAGCATAAGTCACCTGTATATTGAACTGCAGAGCTCTACAAATGGCCAGGCTGGGGTGGAATGACTATACCCACCAGTCTCACGTGTTGGGCTGCCTCAGCTCCCATACTTCACTGCAGTTCTTAGCCCTGTCCTGCCAGCTCAGGGTAGCACCATCCCCCTGCGAAGGCCTTTGGCTACAAATAGCAAAGCATCCCATACTTGCAGGCATGTGGGGAGCAGGCACAGCATGGAAAATGGGCCACTGGAGGAAGCATTTGCTTTTTTTAGGGTCTGATCCCGTGCAAACATTTAGTCATGCAAGAACCTCTCTGTTCCAGAGCAGCTTCCCAAAACTCAACCAGATTATTAAGCACAAATGTAGTACCCTGCAAGATCCAGTTCTTGCAAGGCTTCTTTGGAAACTCTAATAAAAACACGGCAAATCAAGGAAGCAATTTATGGGACCATTTGGACCTGCTCTGACCATCTCTCTCCACCAGGCTCACTGCTTTAGACAGCACAGGGAGGAGATGCAGTGCTAGCACCATGGGAGGTGCAGTGGCTGAAGGGGGTGTATGCTGAAAAACACATGCTCCTCTGCAGAGGTGCTATGGGATTCCTATGGTGAAAGCTGTGGGACCTCTCTCTGCTGGCTGAACGTGTACACCATTGTCCCCAGCTGCTGCAGCACTGAGTGCAGTCAGGAGAAGGAGGAGCTGCTGGAAGCTTAACCTTGCCCAGGCTGAGAGGAGGACACAGCTGACCACTGTGAGGAAGCACAGACATCTCCTCCACTGAACGAGGCCTTCCCCTCCTTCCAAGAGCAGGACAGATGCCATTGCCACAGATGTAATGGTTAGAATGAGACAAGAAGCAGCAAAAGCTTCACTATTTCCTGACAAAAGCAATCTGGGTGGAAAATGCTTCTTGAGCAATGCTCTGGCAGAAGGAGATCCTGCCACTAACCCCAGAATAACAGACAGTATCTGGATGAGCAGCCTCGATTACCCACAAAGGCATTTATCGACACAGGACCCACACCCTGCCATGGAATCACTGCACCACTCTCCAGAGAGGTCCAGACCTCCAGCATCTGTCACAGGAAGCTTTTCGGAGCAAAGGGGAAGGAGACATCGAGTTTTGCTCTGGCACACACTGGGGAGGACAGAGGCAGATGTGAAGCCTTGGAAACCTCCATGTTTCACTGTACAACTGTCACAGGGAGAATCAGGGAACGGCTGGGGTTGGAAGGGACCTTAGGGACCATCTCTTCCCAGCCCCCCTGCCCTGTAATCCACTGGCACACTGTGTCCAGGGGAGGTGGATGTGGGATGTGGGGTGGGAACACGGTGAGTATGTGGAGCCTCCTGGCTGCACTGCAGTGCTGCAGTGCCACGGGCACGTCTGGCACCCCAAAGGCTGAGCCTGAGCCAGGACACAGCCCTGCAGCTCATCCACCGCCTGGCACGGCCAGCCCGGCAGGAGAAGAGCCCCTGACACATAAGTGGGAGAAAAACCCCATTTTGGGGGTCGTTTTTCAGTCAGAGATTGGATCCTGTAGAAAACAGTAAGAGCTGTGGAGCAGCCTGTGAGTTTCCATTGGCCCTCGGCCATGACATGCTCTAGAAGGAAAAAAAAGGAAGGAAACCACTTTCTATCATTTTGTTCCTGTCGGAGGGCCCAGGAGCTGTGTGTGCTGCAAGTGCCACGTCTCCCTGCTGCACTCCAGCAAGCAGCACAGAGGCAGTGGGGCCAGAAGCTGGATGCTCACAGCATGTGTATCTTGGATGTGAGGCCTTGGAAAATCTGCCTCTGCCTAGTACAAGTGCTCACCTCTCTGCTGGGAGCTGAGCTCCCACTGTTTACCCTGTATCTCTGATACTGACCTGTGGGACTCGTTCAAGCATTTCCTGAGGCTCAGGTCAGTATCATTTAGGAATGCTTTGGGGATGGTTTTTCATCCCACAGAAGGATTTAATTTCTCAAACCTCCCTTCTGTCACACAGACAAGGCAAAAGGAAATGGTAGTTGGGGCCCTTGTGACAGCATAAAAACAGAGTCCGAGGCACACCTGGGGTGGAATGTCATGCCACCGACTCTTTGCTGTGGCAGTTACTCTAACAACCAAAACAACACCTCACTTCATATCAGTGTTCCCTGCCCTAAAGGCTGAGACCCAGTGCCATGTGTGGGTGCAGCTAGCAGTGTGGGATGATGCTCCCAGTCACTCAGAGCTGGTCAGAAGTATGAGCCACTCTCATTTCAGCTCTGTAATCCTTGGGTAACATTGGTGAAGTCACCCGTGCACAGACACATCTAATTTACAGCTCTTTAAGGAGCTCTAAATTACAAAAGCAGTCAGACCAGGAAGTCTCCTCTCTCTGCAGAGACAGCATTGCTGCAGCCACTTCACACTCAGCTCATCCCTCTCTAGTACTTCCTTTCTCCTCCATTCAGAGAGGACAAATGGCATGTGAAACCAACTCCCTGCTGCAGCAGCAGGTGGACTATCCTCTGTGAAGTACAGATCAGAACCTCCTACTCCATGGGATGCTCCTCAGTGCTCCTGTATGACTTTGGCAGGGCCCTCAGTAGCAGGCTGACACCCAACCTTCTGCACACCTGCAGAGTTCCACCTTCTGCCCCAAGCTACTACTTCTGGGCTCAGTAATTCTGACAGGCCCCACTGCTGCACTACAGCCAACATACACAGCTCAGCCCTTCACTGCATCCTCACACAGACACTCGACAGGCTGGGGCATGAGACCAAAGTCCACCACAGTTTGTCAGGAAAACCTGGAGGACAAAGGCAGAAGTTGTAAGAATAAAAGCACAGGGTTATTTAGCAGAGGTTAACCAGTAAAAGCACTGCCAGCCATGAATGCCAAACGCTGCTCCCTGCCCTGAGGGTCCCCCCAGCAGTGGCTGTGGCTTACCAGGGGTGCCTTGCTGCCTGCTCACAGGTGTATCTTTTGTTGGGGTCCTTCTCCATCAAATTCCGAATGAAGTCTTTAGCTGCAAAAGCAAAGAGAGAATGATTGAAAGCAATGGAACTGATGCCCAGTTCTGCTGCCAACAGCACTGACCAGACTACCAAGAGACAACTGGCCACACCACAAGAAAATGGCCCTAGGTCATTTGTCATTGAGTAGTACAGATATAACCAAAGAGACCTAGGTCCAAATCCAAGCTGTTTAGTACGGCAGATAAAAGCTGAAGGCACCTACTTCTGCAGGAATATTTAGAAGCCTGCAGAGCACAGGGCCCTCAGCTCCCTGGTCAGCCTCTGAGCACCTCAGTGGTCTGACTGTGGCACATCCACCAGAGGTGCTGGTAAGCTGAATGTGAAGAGCAGGGAGGGCTCAGAGGCCACAGCGAGAGGAGCTGCACATTGCTCACTCCAGGCAATCACACACACGGACAGCTGTGTC